AAAAGCAAACGTCTGTCTTATGTACAGAATTAGCATGTCCTAATTAGAGTTAATAAAAGGAAGTTTCAATACATGTCCCCTAATGGCAACAGCTGTAAAATGTGTAACCAATGTATTAAATGCTTTAGCAATTGCACTCTCCCATTTGATCAGTATAAGGAAGTAAAAAGGCAGTGTAAGGTGTGCTATCATACATGGCATTAGAACATTGCATTCCTGCAGCTATGCTTGCTCTCTTTTTATTTCTTTCTCAATTGTTTTCCTATGTTGGATGACATCTTATGTTAAATTCTTCTATATTGTCCACACATTTGAACACCCAGATCTCACATTACTACAATGTGAGATAAGCTAGATAAGCTATTGCTGACAAGTGCTGATTCTTACAGAGCTGTGAAGGGTATGGACCATATCCACTTCAATCTCTCTGAACTTTCAGTTGGATTTCATTGAACTGAAAAGACTCTCTCTCTGGAAGACTGTATTTTTTATTTTTTCTTCTTTCTTTTTTTTTTTTTTTTTTTTTTTTTTTCACAGTAATTTAAGGCAGGTCAGAACAAGCTTTTAAGGAGCCGGGAACCTGTGACATCCACAAGGGAGAAATATTAAAGTAATTCCATGTGGTGTCCTATGTCTGCTAAAAAAGGAAAGACTGGGAATAAACATAATTAGAGATAAGTGATTGACATCCTTCTCTACGTGCATCGTTTTTAGCCATCTGCTCTCTCTGCTCCAGGCCTCAACCCCACACGTGTTAAATAGTGAGCAAAGAGCCTACATGCGCATCTGAAGTTTAAGGATACCTTTACACAGTCTACTTTTCCATTTCTTAAATTGTACGCCTTGTAGAGAAGGTGACCAGAAAGTGCACCTTTACCAACTCACTACTGTAAGTACTTCTTATTTTTTCAGTATTCCTAGCAATTACAGAGAAGCTGTTATCCTTTAGGAAAAGATGAGGAGCTGAGAAACAGAGTTAAATGACTTGCTCTGGGCCATACAGGGACTCTGTGATAAACTACAATGTAATACTGTTAAATAACTCTCTAGAGAAATACACTTTCCTCTGAATCTGAACTCCCAGTTTAAACTAATGTATACCACTGTCGGGCACCATGTTACAATATAGATGATAGTTAAATGATAGATTGAAAGCCAGTCTCAAAGTAAAACATTTCACATTCTCCTTATTTCTTCCTTGTTAATACATCGTGATTCACATATATCCTATGAGTAACTTACTATGAAAAACAAAACTTTCCATATTAGATCAGGCGATGCCATAATAAAAATGGTATACTGTGCTTCTCATTTTATTTTGCAGATAAACAAGAGTATTTTAATTACCATGATCTGACATGCTATCTCTAGAACAGAAAGTACAATACTGAAGATATAATAGATTTTCAGCAAAGGGAATGTTTATTTTAGGCATTAAATGAAATAGCATTGCAACAAAAAATATTGCCTTATTTTTAAAAGAATCTTTCTTGAAGGAATAATTGTAAAAATGGAGTTCAGATTTTATTGCTTCTGTCAAAATATTAAAAGCTATATTAAATTAAATTTTGGTAAATATGAAGCTTGTGGCACAAACATGAAATAACTTTTATTATTCAGGGTGACTTGGGTGTGCTTTAATTTCTTAGATTTTATAATTCAAAGTTAATTCTGGCTGGAAGTTAAATAAGTAGAAGATTTGCTGTGTCGAGGTGCTCTAAAAATCAGTTATTTTCACAAAGATCACTTTTTACTTACTGATAGATCAAGGCAAAATATCTGCTGTGGTCAATATGACAAGCAAATTGGAGGAGTCGGTGGCAAATAAATAAGTGGAAAAGTGTTTGAGAGGTTGAAGATTTTAAGAAAGGAGTTCAGAGAGATGGCACCAAAACTCAAGGAGGGTATAAAAGAAAGTCTCTACTCATTCAAGAAGAAAATCAGAACAGAAGAAAAATAATCATTTTGGTATCTCAGTAGGGAGCACAGATCAGCTGCTACGCTGAGAGGAAAAACAATTCTTGAGCCTGCAGAAACTAGAGACATAACAGTAACGTAGCATCTTCCTGATGAAAAATAGGTGAGGTGTGGATGTCCTTAACAATATATACTGAGGTCCCTGTAAAGGTCACAGCCTAGAAACTGTGGCAACAAAAGAGATTCAATGAGGCCTTGTCTGAGTTTCAGCTAGTTACCCAACATATATTTTTGCCCATATGAGTCATCAGAAATATTTGCTTGCAAAAACTGCAAGCAGGAGAGCTGTGGTAACCAAGAGTGCATCCTCCACCCTGGCAGTTGGACCTCCTTCCAGCTGCAGGACTGTCATGGTTTCATGATTTTGGTTATCAGCATTCCATATCACAACATCATGTAGTGCACTGGGATTTAAAGAGTTAATGCTCCAGGTCCAGGCACCTGTTCAGAAGAGAAGAACTACATACCCCAGAACACTTTGCATTCAGAGAGGAGATATAACCCTTGGCAATGTCACAAGACCTCCCCTTTTTCCTTCGGCTCTCTTCCCTGCTGCTCATCCCGACCACATGTATTGCTTCAGCATTAGTGTAAGGCCTACATTTTTTCAGATACTCTCTCATTACATTTGATTTATTAGCTTCAATTCTAATTATATTGTATTATAGTGTGTTATCTTGCATTCTGATACCATATTTAGTAAATTAATTTGTTTCTCCTCAGATCGTTGCTGCTGTTTTTAATTATTTGAGGTCCCCTGTTTCCCCTTTCCGGAGGTGCGGATTTGCGAATCCCTCCACCCCACTAGTCACAGAACGAGGCCAAAGCAGCCCACAAACCATTGACAAGGGCAGGCATTGGAGGGAGCAGCATTAATCAGCACTTTGACTAGAAGATGGGGACCAGGAATTTGGGATACATAGATTCAGTTGGGAACACTACAGAGGAGTATCTGTATTTTAACCAGAGGGATCTTTCTTACTAAATTTATCTTGTACATTCAGTGTTTAAATTAAGCAAGGAGGGAATTATGCTGCATGAATAGCCACCTGACAGCCTTCCAGATACAATATAAACAGTCATGAGAGGTTATTGGGGAAATATCTGAACTGACTTCATCAGCACACATAGAATTTTGCTACACAGAGGTCACAGAGCACATACTTAAGATAAACAGTCATAAACACAAGGTGAAATATCAAAAATTGGACTTCAAGGAAAGAGTACAACATTTCCCAAGACAGGAAATTGCAGGAGAAAAATCAAATAAAATAGATTTTACAGAGAGAAATATACCATATATCACAATATATTTTTATATGACAGGCTTCAGCAGCTCCCAAAAACTGGGTCACAACCTCAATGTCTGCTTGCTGAAGCTATTGCATTATTATCAACTGAGATCCCTTTTGCATTAGTGTTGCACTAATACCACCAAACAGATTGTAATACATCATAATGTTGGAATTAACTAGTGTTTTCTGATAAGAAGCAAGTCACCTTCTATTATCAAGCATCAAATCATAGTATTTTGCTGATATATTCTGCTCTGGTACAATCTGCCAAAGAAAATAGTTTGCCCAGCTACAGAGTGATCAGAAAATGTGACTGAATAAGATGAAGATAAAAATGGATACAGAAATTAGCCCTGAAGTATCATAGATTTCCCAAGGCCTTACTGAGAACTCAGAGTCAGTTGCATTTGGCTTTGAGAAAATGTAAATGTTCGAGTCCAAGTTTATTCTCAGAAAATGGTAGATCCCATCCAAGGAGCTTAAATAACAGCATAAGTATTTAAAGCAAGAACAAATATTATTTATTTGTCAGCCACACTTCACTTATCAGTGGAAGAACAGGTATGGTAAATATATAGTATATTTTTATTATAGTATAAATTTGTAACACCGATATTAAGCATGAACCAAATATTTCATTTTAGCATTTGGGTCATGAATGCCAGGGTTTGTCTACCTCAGAGATTGAACAGTTATTTATTGATTTGTCTGTTTTTGATGGTGGGTTAAGTGAGACAGTATGAATTTGGCTTGCATGTTTTCCAGGAGAGTTATGGTACATGTTTTAAGCACCCATTTGATGCATAAACAAAGGCTGATGCCATGCAACATGATGCTAATGAGGGAGCACGATTTTATTGTGGACTAAGGTTTCCCACTACACAGCTCTCTATATTTTTATGGCACATGCAACATTAGATTCTTAGCAGTCTGTTTCTTATTTGGTGTTGGTCTCTTCTCACTGGTGACAGGTGACAGGATGAGGGGAAATGGCCTTAAGTTGCACCAGGGTAAGTTTAGGTTGGATATCGGGAAACACTTCTTTACAGAAAGGGTTGTTAAGCACTGGAATAGGCTCCCCAGGGAGATGGTTGAGTTGCTATGCCTGAATGTGTTTAAAAATTGTTTGGATGTGATGCTCAGGGACATGATTCAGCAGAGGGCTGTTAGGGTTAAGGGTAATTTGGTTAGGTTGTGGTTGGACTCGATGATCATTAAGGTTTTTTTCCAACATGAGCAATTTTATAATTCTATTTTATATCACTGACAGTTGTTGAATCTGTTCTTTACTTATCAATTATCAAATTATAGTTACACGAACCTTTTCACCATTATATCTCTATTTGTTAATTTTTGGGAGAATGTCCCAATGGCAGTGGATAATACTGAAAAGGACTGTTGAATGTGCATTTAGTGGCTGTAGTTGACAGAAACAGTAAGAAAATTCCTCAGTGTGTATGAACAATTTTGAAGCTGAAGATGTGAAAAATGATCTCTAGAAAAGGTATGCTTTGGTAGATAAGGGCAGCAAAACCTGTTTTATACCATTTATTGTATTACTAAGTCAGAGAAGATGTTTTTTAAGCTCCTTCTCATTGCATGTTTTCTGAAATTCTACTGTAATATTGTACTAAAGACAGTATATCCTATATAACAAGTTCTTCTAAAGCTACCTAGACATTCTCCTTGTTCTGAGAAGGAAAACAAGGAAGTTTATCCAGAATGTACCTCTGACAGGCTGTTTTCTGAGTCATAGTCACAGTAGCAAAACTGAAAGAAGGATGAGCAACACAGCTGTAGCCATGGCTTCCAGACAAGATTGTTCCAGGACAGCTGGTCAGAGACAACTTGAAGCGATCTGGTGTGGTTATCCACTGCTCGCTGTATGACACTGAGAATTTCATAGAACCGGGTCTCTGTTTCTGGGGTCAGTGGGACTTTCTCTTCAGGGTCCCTGGAGAGATCGAAGAGCAGTGGGGGATCATGGTGTGTGATGAAACCTCCATAGCAAAAGCAAACATGAGAGTCATAGCAACCATTGGAATCCTCAGGAGTGAAGTTTGGAGTGAAGAAAAAGACTTTCCAGACGGATTCACCTGCAGTTTCCAAATACAAAACAATCAATGATAAAAAGACCAACTGAAAATCCTTTCAACTTAGAAACTCTAATTTACACCACAATAAATCAAACTCTCTATACAACATTTGACAAAGAAGAACTGCAACATACTGAAAAAGCAAAACATGGTGATTTTCTTGCTATACAAATTTATGAAACAATGATGATCGCTTCAGTCCCTTAGAAGAATTTAACTAAATTACAGAAGACTTAAAAGAACTTCATGTTTTTAAGTAAACAATGCTAAGAAATGCTAAATATTTTCAAAGATATTACACTGTCTTCCTCAAGATATATTAAAATGTACTTTTGCCATTTGACCGTATCCAGACACCACTGAACTATGAATGATTCTCATTTCACTAATTAAAAAAAAAAATAAATCATTTTTTAATCTTTTTCTCCTTTAATCTCCTTGTGGTATTAACCCATCACACTGCCACATGCTTACTTTGCAAACATGTTGAGGCAGACGTTCTCATTTTATTAAATGTGATGACAGAAACTGCTGTAACAGATCCTGTTTCAGGCTTCAAGATGCTTTTTCAAAAATACATAACTATTACAGTAGTTCAATTTTTAGGTGAGACATTGCTTTGTAAACTGGAACCAAATATCTTTCAGATAGGGAATTTTGACTTTGCTGTACAGACACTGAACTGCCTGCACTAGAATAACTTCATTCAGTGTTTTCACTATTCAAGATAAGAATTAATTCCTGTACTAAGAACAAGCAAATATTAGTCATTTCCTTCAAGAAATGATCTTGAACAGAAGACTGGAGAACCTAAAAATACTTAACAGGGAAGGAATAAACAAGAAATGGCTATTATTCTCCTCAAGCATCACAAAATAGATCATGCAGACAGGAATGGACAGGCATTTTAATGGAAGTGCACAATCCTCTCGAGCTGGGGAAGAATGCACCAGAAATAAACCAGGGAATAATTAGAGTCAAAATCTGCTTTTCATTCTTAATAAAAGTAGGATAGTAAACAGCTTAGACCTATGATGCCTGACTACCTATCCATCAGAGCATATACAGACACCTGAAATACACAGTCATTAGTTATTTACTTTCCTTAATGCCCTATCACTGAAACTTTTTTCCAAAGAACCACTCAGAAACATAGATTGTTACGGACTGGAAGGGACCTCTGGGTATAACTGAGTCCAACCCCCTGCTAAAGTGGATTCCCTACACAGGAAAACATCCGAGAGGGTTTTGATTATCTCCAGAGAAGAAGAATCCACAATGTCTGGGCAGCCTGTTCCTGTGCTCTATCATCCTTGAAGTAAAAAGAATTTTGTTCTCATGTTCAGGTAGAATTCTTCCAGATTGTACCCACTGTCCCTTGTTCTGTTGTTACACACCACTGAACAGAGCCTGACTCCATCCTCTTGACCCCTGCCCATTAGAGATTCATAATTGTCTGTATGCTGTTCTCCATGTTGGACAGCATCAGATCTCTCAAGTTTTCTTCATAAGAGACATTTTTGTATCACTTCTTTTATATTAAATACTGAGGGGAAAGCTCTGTAGTATTTTGCTGAATTTTTTTAAGTCCACAGAAATTTTGTTACTTTTGTAACTTGTTAAATATTTATATGTGCAATGGTGGTTAATATTCATTAATCAAGTCACTCGTTCACTAGAATAGAAAGCACTTGAAGGTGTGTGAAGGGCAGAAATGAACCGGTACATCACATGCAGTAACTACATCACACTGAATGTTTTAAAGAAAGGTTTAAAGGCACAAATGTTTCAGTGGATTAGAGAGTCACAGACTGTGGTTCCAGTTCATAACATGAATTTAAAAGAAAATAAGTGACCTGAAGATTCTTTACAGCTTCTTCTATCCTGCAGCATTTTTTGCATTGTAAGGGAATTTACCTTAAGGAACCCATTCAGTGATAGAACGTGGAGACTACCAGTTCATTTAGTCTGCACTTAAATCAGGGTCAGAGGGTGATGGTCATATGCATTAGTCTAGGAGTATCCTCTGAATGCTGCTTGAGAATCAGTACAAGGGAAGCAGCTCTAAAAGCAAAGAGCACCTTGCTGGCACAGACAATAAGGTGTGGAAGGCTTTAATAGGTACTGAAGGCTCTGGCTGTAACAGCAGCAATGGCTCAATCATACTGGGGGGCAGGGACAGGACATGACTGGACAGGATGGGAGCATTTCTCCATCCCCCTTTCCAATATTTTGGAAGATTTATTTAGTATTTGAATTTTTTGTTGTTTCCTCACGATTAAAATTAATAATAATCCCAGAATTAAAAAAATTGCAGGGGTTGGAAGGGACCTCAAGAGATCATTGAGCCCAACCCTCCTGCTAAAGAAGGTACCCTACAATAGGTCACACAGGCAGTCCTCCAGGTGGGTCTAAGTATCACCATAGAAGGAGTCTCCACAACCTCTCTGGATAACCTGTTCTAGCACTGTTCCAGTGTTCCATCACCCTTTCTGTAAAGAAGTTCTGCATATTAGTAGGAAATTTCCTACATTCAAGTTTTAGGTCATTATTCTGTGTCCTATCACTCTGCACCACTGAAAAAAGCCTGGCCTCATTCATTTGCCTCCCACCTTCCCTTAGATGTATATAAACATTAATCAGATCCCCCTTCAGTTTTGTTTTCCTCAGACTGGACAGACCCAGGTTACTCAGTCTTTCCTTTCTTCTCCGTATGGGAGATGCTCCAGGCCCTTAACTGTCTTTGTGGCCCTTTGATGGACTGCTTGTAGGAGATTCTTGTCTTTTTTAATGCAAGGATCCCAGAACTGGACACAGTATACTAAACGTGGCCTTATTGGGGCAGAGTAAGGGGGAGAATCACCTCCCTTGACCTGCTGGTCACAGTCTTTTTAATGCACTGCAGGATATCATTGGCTTTCTTGGCCACAAGGGCACACTGCTCATGGGGAACCTGTTGTCCAGAGCTCATTTCTTGCTCAGAGACATGATTTAGCAGAGGGTTGTTAGAGTTAGGGTAGTATGGTTAGGTTATGGTTGGACTAATTATCTTTACGGTCTTTTCCAACTTGAGCAATTCTATGATTCAATGACTTTATGATCTACAGCAGGTCACCCCCTATCCTGAACTGATGCATGCCATTATTTCTCCCCAGGTGCAAGACTCTATCCTTAATCTTGTTAAACCTCATCAGGTTCCTCACTGCTCAAGTCTCCAGTCTGCCCAGGTCAACAATCTAACAGTCCCCCTCAGACATCTTTGAACTTATGCACAGAACATTGCCCAGAGCAGAAATACGCCTCTCATTTATTGAGATTTAAAATATATATTCTGGGAACCTATGTGATTCTATACTAAGCATTTCTTCTGGCTCTTTAAAAGTGTTTGAGTGTCAGGATGGACAATGAAGAACAGAAATGGCCAAAATCACTATTAATCAGCTTCTGTAGACCAAGCAATATTTACTCCATTTGAGAATTTAATTCAGAGCACTGTAACACCTTGACAGAAAGGCAGAAAAAATGCACATGAGAGCTCTGTGGTCAGGATGTGTTACCATACCCCTATCTTTGATAGAACACTTCCACTGAATTACTTTGAAAACGAATTTTCCATCAACTCTTATATTGTTGGACACTGTATCACCAGGCCATTTAAAGGGCTGACTCACAGCAATATAAATTTAAGGATTCCTGAATTATTGTAAAACATAACATTAGAATAATATAAGTAAGTTCAAAGACACGGGAAAAAAAACAGAAACATGCAAGTTGTAGTATGATATTTTTTCCCTTACAGAATAAATATTCTTCATATTTTATTTCATATAATCTTCATTATTTATTTCATATCTTCTATAGCTTGCCTACATCTAGAGCATCTGTCACGTTGTAAAATGTGTGTGATTGGAGACAGACACATGACATCAGATCATGTCTGAATTACATTGCTAGTTTTTTTTGAAGAGCTGATGGTTGTCAGCCATGCTGCTACTTACACTGTGCAAAACACAGCCTTGGCAGTGCAAGTACAATTGTACAATAGAACAGTGATCATTTACTGCACTGCAGTGTTTCAAAGGACCTGGAACTTCATGAGGTGCTGGAAAAACACCAGTGCAGAGTTTAACTACCCACTGCCTAAGCATTATAAAAGTACAGCACACCTGTCAGTGTCTGTGTCTGTAGAGAAGCCAGTGTAATATACTAGGAGACATAAAGAGGTGTTGGATTTCTAATCTGTAAAGCTGATGAGCTGTATAAGGATCTTAACAATGGAGACTTCTCTCTCAGTTTCTCTCAGCTGATATAGAATCTCATTTTGTCAGAGGGCTAGCTGCAAGGATCAAATTAATCTCTCAATAATTAATAATACTTTTGTTCTTCAAACCATCTGAACTTTCTTATTATTTAAAGACAACTATAACTCTGTTCTTCACTGAGCCTAGCTGTAAAATTGTCAGGGTTCCCTCACAGTCAGTATATAGAGCCCTTCCAAAACACAGAAGGCAAGCTAGATGTCTGTAGTTCCTTGGAGATCCTTTCACAGAGCATCACAGCTTCTTTATTCAGCAGCCATTTTTCTGCTGAGTTAATTGCGCAAGGGTTTCACTTGCTCAGTCCTCAGAATACCACTTTCCTTTGATATATAAAAAAGCAAAAGTCACAGAAGTTGTACATACAAATAGTCTCAAGTTAAAATAGGTTGCAATTAGTTTGCACAAATCTGTTATGAACATAACTGCTAAGAATTTGATCTCCTTAACAGCCTCCTCTTCAGTTTTATTATCCTTCATCTATTTATTCTCTCATAATCACACAGATAATCAAAACTTCAATAGACAGGTAAAGGCCAGAAGGGTAAATAAAAGTATCTCAGTAAAATATATTAATATTTCCAAGATGACATGACACAAAGGATATGGATGTTATTTCTGTAATACTAGATCTGTGCGTAATGATTGATGGCTATGTCCTATTCTCTGATAAAGACTTGAAAT